ATAACATACTTGTAACATGTTATACACACTACGTATAATATGCTATTAAGTAGCATTATGTAGTACGCGAGCTAACCCCTCAGCACCCGCGGCTGGCTCCGAACGCCGCGCGCGCCCCGCCCCCATGCACCCGCCCCGCCCCCGCCGTGTTCGCAAAACCCAAAACCTCGTGTGCGCATAACCCTCGAGTTGCGCGCGCGCGTTGGATCGACCAACGATCCATTTCATGCGGCCACTGACTAACCTCCCCGCGGGGGGATACATGTTTTTTTGCGCGCGCCTCTCTGCAGAGCACGCGCGATCAAATTTGACACTACATGTAGCGCGCCGTTTTAACCATCAACCGCAAAACCATGCCTGGTGAATTCAATCGTTGATACTGGGAAACCGCGGAGCTGACATGACTATCGAAAACCAAACGATGACGTTTTTTTTTTTTTTGTTTTCCAGCGCTGCAGCGCCACGTAGTTTGGGACTGCATTTTTTTTCTTTCCCCCAGCGCTTTTTTTACCACCCCAGGGTGCCTCCCCCCCCCCCCCCCCCCCCCGCGCTTTATTTTCCCCCCTGCGCTTGTTTTTGTTTCCCCTCGACTTTTTGGGCCCGCCGCCCTTCCAGCACTTTTTATTTTTCCCCCGGCACTTTTCTTTTTTCCCCTCGGGGGGGGGGCCCCTGCCCTGGGCTGGGGGGCCATTCCGGGAGGGGGCTCCAGGGGTCGGCGCGCTGTTTTTTTCCCCTTGGGGGGGGGGCCTGCCTAGGCGGGGTGGCCACTCTGGGGGGGGGGCTCCAGGGGTCGGCGCACTGCCTTTTTTTCCCTCGGCGCTTTATTTTTTTCCCCCGGCACTTTTTTTGTTTGCCCTGGCGCTTTTTATTTTTCCCCCCTGGGGGGGGCTGTAGGGCGCCAGGGGGAGGGCGCGCCGCTGGATGGGGGGGGTCTTTCCTTGGCCCGTCGTCGGCGGACCCCCCCCCTTTGCCGGTCCGTAGTCGGCGACCCCCCCCCTTTCGAAAGGGGGGGGTCGGGGGGGTCCAGACCCCCCCCCTTTGGACTCGAAATTCAGACGACCCCGCCCCTTCCCCCCCTTTCGCCACGCCGCCCCCTCGCTCCGGAACCCGATCCCTACCACCCCTAACCGTAAACCTAACCCCTATCCGAACCCCGAGCCCTAACCCTTAACTCCAACCCCTAAACCCGAACCCCCAATCCATAATCCATAACCCCAACCCCTAACCCGAAACCGTACACCCTACCCCTACTTCCAACCCTAACCTCTACCCTAACCCCTAACCCTAAACCCGAAACCTAACCCCCCTAACCCCACCCTACCCCCAACCCGTACCCTAACCCCTAACCCATACCCGCACCCTAACCCCAACCCCGAAACCCTAACCCCGAACACTAACCCCATACTCCCTACCATAAACCCTACCCCCACACCCTAACCCCTAATCCTAACCCTAACCCCTACCCTATCCCCTACCCCATATCTTAACTCGAACATGGCACTCGTAACCCTAACCACTAACCTTAACGTTTAAACCGAACCCTACCCAGTGCTCCTAACGCGAACCCCTACTCCAACCCTAACCCCTACCCTAACCCCTGCCCTACCCCCTACCTAACCCTGACCCCTGCTCTAATCCGTATTCCTTATTAGAATATAACGGTGAACCCCCCTTACTCTGGCCGATAGCACTTCAATCCAGGCCCTCCCACTTTAACCTGTAAAAAAACAATACAGAATCAACGTTTTTCGTCTCAACATGGACGTTCTGTCGCGCACGTCGCAGAATGTGTGGCAGGAGTGGGACGCGGCGCGCACTCCGGCCGCGAAAGGGCGACATGTCGCCCTCTATCTTTATTCCTTATTCGAATATGACGGTGAACCCCCCTGTATTCCCTATTCCTTCCAGGTATTCCGGGTCTGGAGCGGATGGCGCGCCGAAGGGGGTCGTCGTCGTCGTCGTCGTCGTCGTCGTCTTCGTCTTCGTCTTCGTCGTCCTCCTCCTCCTTTTTGAGTTAGCCCAACTGCGAAGCGGATTCGCAGCGCCAGTCTCCTCCCCCACCTCCCTCCTCCTCCTCCTCCTCCTCATCATCATCATCCCTCCTCCCTCCTTCTTCCTCCTCCTTTTTGTTCCTCCTCCCTCGTTTTCTCGCTTCTTCCTCCCGCCTCCCTTTTCCTCCTCCCTCCTCCCTTTTCCTCTTCCCTCCTCCTCCCTCCTCCTCCCCTCCTATATCCTTCCTCGTCGTCGTCGTCGTCACCATCGTCATCGTCATCGTCGTCGTCGTCGTCGATCGTGATTTTGGCCCCCGGCTGTGCCAGCGCTGTTTCTTATGTTGTGGGAGGGCGGGTGGGAATGGGCATGCCGTGCTTGACTCGCTCGAGCCGGCTAGCTTGACCCCAACCCTAACCCCTCATCCGAACCCCTAATCCTCATTCCTTATTAGAATATAACGGTACCCCCCCTGAGTTACGGCCGATAGTAACCCCGCCCGTCGTGCCTGTGAAAAAACAATACGAAATCAATGTTTTTCGTGTTCAACATGGACCCACGTCGCAAAAAGCATGGCAGGAATGGGACGGGGCGCACACCCTGAGGGTAACCACAGGCGGGCCCTCCCATCCTACCTGTGAAAAAACAATACGAAATCAACGTTTTTCGTTTTCAACATGGACGTTTTGTCGTCCACGTAGCAAAATGCGTGGCAGGAATGGGACGGGGCGCACACCCTGAGGGTAACCACAAGCATCCTACCTGCGAAAAAACAATATGAAATCAACGTTTTCCGTTTCAACATGGACGTTTTGTCGTCCACGTCGCAAAATGCATGGCAGGAATGGGACGGGGCGCACACTCTGAGGGTAACCCCAAGCGGGCCCTCCCATCCTACCTGTGAAAAACAATATGAAATCAACGTTTTCCGCTTTCAACATGGACGTTTTGTCGTCCACGTCGCAAAATGCATGGCAGGAATGGGACGGGGCGCACACTCTGAGGGTAACCCCAAGCGGGCCCTCCCATCCTACCTGTGAAAAACAATATGAAATCAACGTTTTCCGCTTTCAACATGGACGTTTTGTCGTCCACGTCGCAAAATGCATGGCAGGAATGGGACGGGGCGCACACTCTGAGGGTAACCCCAAGCGGGCCCTCCCATCCTACCTTTGAAAAAACAACATGAAATCAACGTTTTTCGCTTTCAACATGGACGTTTTGTCGTCCACGTCGCAAAATGCATGGCAGGAATAAGACGGGGCGCACACTCTGAGGGTAACCCCAAGCGGGGGGTCCCAGGTCCCATCCTACCTGTGAAAAACAATATGAAATCAACGTTTTTCGTTTTCAACATGGACGTTTTGTCGTCCACGTCGCAAAATGCATGGCAGCAGTGGGGCGGGGCGCACACTCTGAGGGTAACCCCATCCGGGGTCGCACACGGGCACGAGATAGAAAAGTGGTGTCGTGGTCGTCGTCGTCGTCGTCGTCGTCGTCGTCGTCGTCGTTTTCCTGCGGGGCGGTCGTCGTCGTCGTCGTCGTCGGCGGCGGCGGCGGCGTGAGCCGGCAGGCACTCACCCCTGCTGCGTGAGCGCGGCCATCGTCTTGTCCTGAGATGCCCGCGCAGCTTCTGCGACACGCCGAAAAGTCCCCATCGGTAGCCACCATCGCGGTCGCATCAGCTGCGCCAAACAAGCGGGCCGATGGGATGAGATTTCGGTCCCTGGTTGTGGCAGCACTGTTTCTTATGTTGTGGGAGGGCGGGTGGGAATGGGCATGCCATGCCTGACTCGCTCGAGCTGGCTAGCTTGACCCTAATCCTAACACTGCCCCCTATCCTCATTCCTTATTAGAATATAACGCTGTCCCCCCCTCTCCGCGGCTGATAGTAACCCTATCTGGGCCCTCCCATCCTACCTGTGAAAAAACAATATGAAATCGTCGTTTTTCGTTTTCAACGTGGACGTTTTGTCGTCCACGTCGCAAAATGCGTGGCAGGAATGGGACGGGGCGCGCACCCTGAGGGTAACCACAAGCGGGGGGTCCCATCCTACCTGTGAAAAAAAACAATACGAAATCAACGTTTTTCGTTTTCAACATGGACGTTTTGTCGCCCACGTCGCAAAATGCGTGGCAGGAATGGGACGGGGCGCGCACCCTGAGGGTAACCACAAGCGGGGGGTCCCATCCTACCTGCGAAAAAACAATATGAAATCAACGTTTTTCGTTTTCAACATGGACGTTTTGTCGTCCACGTCGCAAAATGCATGGCAGGAATGGGGCGGGGCGCACGCTCTGAGGGTAACCCCAAGCGGGCCCTCCCATCCTACCTGTGAAAAACAATATGAAATCAACGTTTTTCGCTTTCAACATGGACGTTTTGTCGTCCACGTCGCAAAATGCATGGCAGGAATGGGACGGGGCGCGCGCTCTGAGGGTAACCCCAAGCGGGGGGTCCCGTCCTACCTGTGAAAAACAATATGAAATCAACGTTTTTCGTTTTCAACATGGACGTTTTGTCGTCCACGTCGCAAAATGCATGGCAGGAGTGGGACGGGGCGCACGCTCTGAGGGTAACCCCATCCGGGGTCGCACGCGGGCACGAGATAGAAAAGTGGTGTCGTGGTCGTCGTCGTCGTCGTCGTCGTCGTCGTCGTTTTCCTGCGGGGCGGTCGTCGTCGTCGTCGTCGTCGGCGGCGGCGGCGTGAGCCGGCAGGCACTCACCCCTGCTGCGTGGGCGCGGCCATCGTCTTGTCCTGAGATGCCCGCGCAGCTTCTGCGACGCGCCGAAAAGTCCCCATCGGTAGCCACCATCGCGGTCGCATCAGCTGCGCCAAACAAGCGGGCCGATGGGATGAGATTTCGGTCCCTGGTTGTGGCAGCACTGTTTCTTATGTTGTGGGAGGGCGGGTGGGAATGGGCATGCCATGCCTGACTCGCTCGAGCTGGCTAGCTTGACCCTACCCTCAACCCTAACCCCTAATCCGAACCGTAACCTCTAACCCACCCCTAAACCTAACGTCGAAACCGGGGTCCCTGCCGGCTCCTCCCGCGACCCGCCGTGGGCCACCCCCCGTGAGGTGCAGGAGGACTTCATGGAGAAGGTGAGCGAGACGCGCGTCGCGGCGGAGCTGCTGCCGGTGCGCGCCGCACCGTTGGCCTCTTTCCTCTTCGGACGCAGCTCCTGGGGGGTTGATTGAGCATCGTCGCGGGTACCAGGGGTTGGGACGTGAGGTCGAAGTGAAACGCACGTACTGGGAAATCGGTGGTTTCGGGTTCGTTCGGGCGGGTGGCAATGGGGGGGGGTCCTGAATGGAGGGTGAAAAGAGGATCCTGAAGGGGCACCTTGGGGCCCCTTCTGGGCCCCTGCTGGCTCAAAAGGAGGCCCTAAGGGGTCCCTTTTATTGCCTTGTTCTTCACTCCCCATATAGGCTTAAGTCGGGCACGCCCCTCTACTGGAGGAACATTTTAAGGACAGTAAAAGCATAGTCTGGGTGCGGCTTTTCTGAATGAGATCATCTGCGAATAAAGAACCCAAATATTTATGACCATTATTGGCTGTCGTTTGATTATTTCTGCATTTATGCCAAAATCCGCCTGTAGGAGGACATGCCCGACCTACGTAAGCTTAGGCCACCCCCCATGACCACCTGCCCGATTCGTGTTCGTGCCGCGCGTGCGGGTTGGGCGAGGCTGCGTGCGGGGGCGAGGGCGTGCGCCTGCAGCTGCTGGGGCGAGGTCTGGATATAAATGCCCCCCCCCCGCCGGGGCCCCGCGGTCGTCCCGTCAGTTGTGGCGTCGGTCGTTCCGTCGGTGTTGTCCGGTCTGTTTTCCCGGTGGTTGTCCCGATTGTTGCCCCGATGGATGCCCCGATTGCTCTTCCCCGAAGAACAGAACACGGCATAAGCATAAATGTTTGGCGCTCCGCGCGGATTTCGCGCAGATCCAAGAAATCCGCGCGGAGCGCCAACAGTTTATGCTTATTCAGTTGTTTCTTCTTCTAGTTCCGACGCTTGCCCCGATGGTTGTCCCGTCGGTGGTCCCGATGGTCCAGTCAACCCGCATAGTCAGGGTGAGCGACTTTCCAAGGGTACCCTTGCATCCTTGTTCCTTCGACCCATCCTTGATATCTTTCGCCGGCCAACCTCGTCTGACAAACGTTAATAACATGGCCCTCCACGGCCCTTGCATCCTCATCCTTAACGCGCATCCTTATTATACTTGTCCAGATGGCTGTCCCGATGGTTGTCCTGATGGTTGTCCCGATGGTTGCCCCGATGGTTGTCCAAATGGTTGCCCCGGTTGTTTTTTTTCCGACGCTTCCCCTTCTGGTAGATTAGTTGATGTTGAGTTTGTTCGATAGAGCGGTCGTCAGATACATCCTCAACTATTTTTCCAATGGCGTGATGCCCAGCCCGCCACCGTGCCTGGGTTGTGGGTCGGAGTCCTCAGGGATGCTTCTTGGGGTCTCTCCCGTCTGCAGGAGCAGCATGAGCTCGGCGGCCTCGCCAACGGTGCCCACAGACGCGAGGTCGGCGCCGTGGCGGACCGTCGGCCCGCGGCGCCCGCCTCGCCCCATCGCACCGTGGGGGGCCGCGCGCCAGGGGGCGGTGCGGCCGCGGCGCTCGCGAGGGCGCCTCCGCCCGGGTCCCAGCGCCTGCCAGGCCCCTAAGCCAGAATGGCTACGTGGAGGAGGAGGAGGAGGAGGATTTTTTGACATCAACGCTCAAGGACCCCAAGTCAATGAGGAAAGTGATGAAGGAGTAGCCGAAATCGAAGAAGACGGTAAAGCCCAGAGAAAACGGCAACTCCCAGCATCTGATGAAGTACACCTCCATGCCGAACACTGACAGAATATCCCAGACTTGAGGAGCAGCACAATAACGCCGTAGATCTCGTCGGACAGCTGCACGCCATACAGCCCGCACCTTAAGAGGCCGAACCAGGAAAATGAACCCCGCACGAGAAAACAACGATGCCATACGACGCAATGTGCCAATACCCAGAACCAGCATATGCCGACAAAGACGAACACGAAAATGAGGGTACCCGTAGCTTCCATGACGTGGAGAAGGATACGATGACAAACAAAGCCGAAAAGACCAGCTTGAACATCGTGAAGAAGTGTCAATACTCGCCACGTCAGTCCGAGAGGTCGCACCCGCGGTCGGCGAAGAACAGGGAGCCACCAGAAACCTGAAAAAGCAGGCCTTCTCCAGGATCAGGCGGCAGACCAGTCGGCACCCATGAACTCGCAGCATCAGCCCCGACAGGGACTGGAAGCTTGTGAGCAGGATCCGTATCGTCCTCCACAGCCTTCGCGACCGACTCGGCGTTCATATCCGCCGCGCGGACTCCTGCATCCAGCGGCGCCTGCGCACCGTCAGAGCCGTCCTCTGAGGGGGGGGGGCACCCCTCGAGAGGGAAACTGCGGGCAGCTGCACACAGCCGCGCCAAGCCGAGGGGGCGGGAGCAGAGCGTCGCCACCCAGCAGCGGCGCGGGCCCGCTCTCGAAGGCCTCCCAGTCACTGAACACCACGGCGCCGCAGGTGCAGCGCAAGCCAGGGTGGGGCCGCGCCTGGTCCTCCAGTGGCTCCCACCGCCCAGCCCCAGGGGTGAAGATGGGAGCTCCAGCACGAAGTCCCGTACCTCCGCCCAGCGCCGCACCAGTCGCCGCTGCTGCCGTGCTCGAGCGCCCGTCCCGCTGGAGCTGGTTGAGCTCCCGCTGCGTGGCGCGCTCGATGGTCTCGGCAGAAATGCCGAAGTTGTGCGCGGCCAGGTTGCGCCTGGCGCGCGCCGCACCCGCGACCTGGGTGCCCGCGATGCCGGCGGCGAGCACCGGCAGGATGAGCCGAAGCCTGCGCCTCAGCTCGTCGCCCCCGGAGCCGGGAGCCGCCTCGTCGACGTCCACCTCGAGGGCCGCCAGCAGCCCGTGCGCCTCCGCGAGCCTGAAGGAGAGGTTGGCCAGCTCGTCCTTCAGCTTGAAAATGAGCCGGTCGGCCGACGCGCGCGCCCCGGCAGCCCCTCGGAGGGGCTCTCCCGCAGCCACCATGCTCGCACCGCCCGACGCCCTGGGGGTTTCGAGCCAGCTTGAGCCAAAATGGCTACGGAAGGAGGAGGAGGAGGAGGAGGAGGAGGAGGAGGAGGAGGAGGAGGAAGAGAGATCGATACTGCTGCTCCTCCTGGAGCGCCCCCGTAACCACGGCTGGACTCTCTTTCGAGACTGTTTGGTCAGGAACGCACCGTGGCGGTATCGGTACCCCACGGGGGGTCTGACGAGGCCAGCTGGGACCTTTCAGTATCGTTTAACAGATCCCCATCCCCATCCCCATCCCCTTCGAGACCCCCACCAAATTGCCCCCCCAGTTGGAGATACACCCCTCGAAGTCGACGAACGGCCTATATCCTCATCTAGGGGGGTAAATCGGCCAGTGGGGCCCAGGCCACGTCACTGGGGATGGGGCTCGGTTAAACGATACTCAGAGGCCAGCTGGGACCTCCTGGGGGGGAGGCTGTCCTGTCAGCGCGCAGCCTCAAGCTTAGTCAGGGGAAGCTGTTTCGAAGTAGTTGACTATTGTTGAACATTTTGTGAACTGATTTTGTGTTCTCTTCCAGAATCCGCCTGTAGGAGGACACGCCCGACCTAAGGCCAAACCGTACCAGCCTGCTCTAGCTCGCGCCCGCGCGCGCAGGTCTTCCACATCGAGAAGTCGATGATCTGTCGGATCGACGTGCGTGTCTGGGGCAGCGTGACGCTGGCCGTAGGGGAACAAACAATGGCATCAATGTCGTCGTTTTCTCATCTATGTTTGTTGTCGATCGGCGCAGGCCCTCGCACGTCTCCCCCATAGGACGCACTGTTGCAAACAGTCGCGTTAAGCAGAGGTACGGAGCCAGACACTCCCTTCCCCTTCCCCGACGCCGGCTAAGAACACGTCGACAATATGACAGTTCGAAGGTCCGCGCGGATTCCTCAGAGTCCGCGCTGACCTTTGAGTTTTCATGTGCACGTCATTGTTCGTTCCTTCAGGCCGAGCTCCCGCAGAAGCTGATGCCGGCCACGCTGAAGCTGGTCCTGAAGGCCGACTCGCGGCGGTGCAATTGGCGATTGCAGAAGTTGCGGGGAGGGGTCCTGGAGTAACGGGGTCCTAGATTGATTTCGACGTTCTGGCGCTCCCAGGGCCCTTCCTGGGACCCAGGGTTGTCAAACATTAACGAACACCCAAATTTTCTCCACGACAACGGATGAAAGCACCGAACACTGCAAGGGCCCGAGATTTTGACCGACGCACACATGGACGTTGGCCATCGCCCTACTGACCACGCAATGCGGGTGACGTCGGGCAATATCATGCATGCATGCACCTCCCCGTGAACTCGCTCCTGAGACACACAGCGGACAATATTCTTTGAGAGGACTGCAGGAGACGGTTCGGCGCTGGTCAGACACGGGTACCGTTTTGTTGGTACCAAATGCACGCCAGCATTTCAGACACATGCAGTATTGGTCGAATTGGTAAGATGTTCCTCCGCAAGCGCGGTGCCCAATCTGGGGATGTCATTACGTTACGTTCGAGTTTCAATGTTTATAGGTTTGCGGTTAGGCATAGGTTCAGCATCGTAATTTATTAAACAATTGGTGCAGGCGGTGGTCTGCCTGGTGGTCCGTACGTCATTGCTGTGTCATCGGTGTGACCGTATGATGCGCCGAACACATTGGTTTATACCGCCGTTTCTTTCTGATCCCTGATCACTCATGGCGAGCTACATACCTAGTGTTCGTTTTGTGTGTGTGGGAGAGAAGGCACGGCCTGTCCACCAATGACTAGCTAGAGGATATACGTTTATATGTGTAAATGTACACACCGCACCACACAAACAGGATTATTCTCATCACGTGACCAAGCATTATTTGCAAGACGTCGTTCCCCTTGACGGCCAGCCAGATTGCGGCGAAATGTTTTCACCGCGGCCCCGAACGCCACAGAACGGATAGTTGTCGCACCAGGACGGGCACCATATCCTACCGAAGCTCAAGCTGCCAGCACACACCCTCGCGTCCTGGTGGAAAATGGCCAGCGAGTTGTCCTCACCCCGTGATTACAATTGCAAGCCACTTGGGCTGGGCACGGCACGCGGGCACAGCACGACACATTCTTCACATTCTAGAGCCAAGTCACGGCATGGCACAGCACGCGGGCACGGCACTGCACGTCACGGCCATTCTCGTGCATCCTAGAACCCGGGCGCGGCGCGCGAGCGTGGCACTTTGCTCGCATCCTGAAGTGTTCGGCTCGACATGCGGGCACGGCACGACACGTTGTACGCGTTCTAGGCCCAGACACGGCACGGCATTGCCACGGCGCGGCACGTTCTTCCTTTTCTTCGAACCTGGGCGCGACGCGGTCTGTAGATCGGAAGCGCTGTATTGCACGGCGCGCGGGCACGGCACGGCGCATCTTTCTAGGTTCTAGGTTCTAGGTTCTAGGACCTAGGCACGGCACGGCACGTGGACACGTCACGGCACAGCACAGTTTCTCGCAGTGTAGAAGCGACACTGATGTGGATGGAAGGAGGGGGGCGCGAGCGTTAAGCAGGGAAGGAAACGAAGAGGGACGCTGGGTGGGAGGAGGAGAAGATTGAGGAGGACAGGCCTCGGGTAGGGGGGCCCCCGAGCTGCGCACCTTCCCTCTCCAGGTCCTTGCGCTGTCGGACTCCATCTCGATCGAGGGCAGCACGCTGGTCCTGAAGAAGTGGGCTCTGCCGCCATTCCGCGGCTCCCCGCAGCAGATCCAGGCCGGCACGCTTCCGCCTCGCCCTTGCTCTCCCCCGAGGATCGCCAGGTGAGACATCGGCGGCCCTCCGTGTCCTCCTCCCTGCTCCTCCTTTTGGCTCTTCTGGAGGCTTCTCCTCCTCCTGCTGGTGTCAAAGGTCGCCACTGGCTCTCGAAAGAGAATAACTGCGTAAACACAAACTTGTGACGGTCCGCGCGGAACGCGCCAGGAGGTCTTCAGTGCCGACCGGAGAAGTCTGTGCGGACCTCCGTCAGTTTATGTTAAGGTTGTTTTCTCTTCTTCCATCAATGGCCGGCGATGAGGCTCGATTGGCCCGCCCTCGATGTTCATTTTGTTGTCCTCGCGTTTTTTTTATGTTCACGCCCTTTTCCTGGGTGTCGGGCTGGATCTGGCGGCATCCTCCCGCGTTCGGCACGGCGCACCAGCGCATGATGGCTTATTCTGGCTGGTGCGTTTCTCCGAGCCGCAAAACAACACACGGCATACAGATAATTTCTCCGAGGTCCGTGAGGAATTTTTGGCTCGGCGCTGGGGCCCCCCCTGGCGGCGCCTCTGGCGCCGACCCTGGCGAGCTCCGCGCGCCAGGGAGGGGGGTCCAACGCAGATCCAAGAAGTCCGGGCGGACCTTCGAACGTTTACCTTTATGCAGTTGTTGTTCCACGAGTCTCGGGGGTGGCCAGAATTGAAGTTACGCCCGAAAGCAGAGGGCTCATGACGAGGCTCGCTTGCCCAGAAGCTTTACATGCGACGCTTAGCTCTCGCCGCTCGCCCGCTCATCCCTCGCGGCTGTGTTGGCAATGCTGTGCGAATCGCCTGCCGCGCTCAGACAGAGGTAACTGCAACGTCACAGCGTGGGCACAAGACGAGACGCAGCAGTCGGGAAGTGTGCAGCGCCGGAGCGTCGAGGGAGCGCCGCAAGGTGAGGAACACGAGGCCAGCACTGCCCGAAAATAGCTTCAGACGGCGCAGAAGGCGGAGGGCCACGCACTTGCCTCATGGGCCATTGGGGGAGCAATTAGGAGCGCCATGGCCGCTGAGCGCGCTTGCGCTATTCGCGCAAGGCGCGCCGACGCAACATGCGATCATATTCACCCAAGCACCCCCGAGACCCTGCCAGTTGCCGGTGTCCTCACACCGCCACAATCCACTGGGAATGCCCGGGTTGCCGCGGAGCGACGGAGCGCGATCGCTCTGCGCGCGCGAGCTCCGCCAGTGAAGCTTTACAGACGCTCAAGTGCGGCCGCGTCCCCGTACCAGCCAACGCCCACGAGCACTGGCACGACCGGGAGGACCGCGCCACGCCAGCGATGAGCAAACACAACTACTTGCAGGAGCTGACCTCGTAGCAGGAGACGAAACCGAACTGCTGCTGGCACCTGCAAATACAGCGCCAGGCTCAGGGCAGCGGATCTAGCAACTGTGGTTTTGGTCCACGAGCACGAGCCAGTCCAGCAACCGGCGCAGGACCGAGACGCACAGCACCACGAGTTGCCGAAGCTGCCGTTCGCATCCCAACGCCTTCAGACTGGACTCGCTTAGACTTCACCACGTCACTGCGAGCACTACGCGGCGATTCGCACGAGTCACGGATGCGAGAGCTACGAAAGCCACGTTTCCGGTGGTGGCACCCCACTAAGGAGGAGATGGCGCGAGGGCTGCGTGCACCGAACATGCCTCAGACAACATGTGACCTCATACAGGCAGCGGTCAACTGTCAACATCCGTTTTCAAAGCCGTCAGTAGCTACCACCAGCACGCGAAATCATTATCACACTGCGCCGATCGACGCGATTCAGCCGGCACGTTGCGTTCAACATGTTCAGAGGAGCATGAAATATTGATATTGGTACTTTTCAAAATTTCCAGGTTTTCCTGTTTTTCTGCGCAGGCTACATGGACGAATGGCCGAGCGCATTCCGTCGCGTAGGTTCTTTGCGCGATGTGCGCGGTGCATTTTCCGCGCACCGGAGCGCCTTCGGAGATGCCAAGCTGTATGCTGTGTCGTTCTTGGGGGGTCCGTGAGTCGCAGCTGCCGTGGCGCTGTTTTCGAGGTGACCTTTCGAGTGCCGTTCGCGGGCGCAACGCGCGGCGCGCGCCGCGCCCAATCGCGCGCGGCGCGGTGCGTGAATCAGCCAGCCGCGCCCGTCGGACCGCCCGGAAATTATTTCTGGATTGTAGAATGTTTCAAAAAAGCGTTTCCGTTTGTCTGGCGCACGCGGTACCATAATTTTTCGAAAGGAGCCCGGATTTTATATATATATATATATATATATATATATATATATAAAAAAAAAAAAAAAAAAAAAAAAAAAAAAAAAAAAAACGGACAACGAACACCAACATTTCTGAGGGGTGGAATGGAATGCGCCCGCCGCGCAGGACATCTGAATAATTCTGAAATCCAGAATTTGTCAAAATGGATTATGGAATTTTTCAAGATCGACCCCGGCATCTTTCAACATCGGTTCTGCTATTTTCAAAAAGTAGGCCAGACATGTTCAACAACGCTCTTGGAGTTTTAAAAATTTACCCCCGGAGAATTTTCCAGAGTCGCGCATGATTTGCCGCACCAGGTTTTTGGAAATCCGCCGTGGCGCGCGGCGCGCGGCGGCGGGCGATGGGGCGGTGCGCCATCCCCCCCCCCCCCCCCCCCCCCCCCCGCGCTCGGCAACGAGAAGGGGGATCAGCAAGTGCCACATGGCCACCTACGGGCGACCACTCGAACGCGAATGGGTGACCGACCAGCGGCGCCAGCCAGAGTAGACAATACTCGACGCAAAGTGCACCCCGCGCGAAAGTTGTTAGAAATCCCGGAATCCCCGGAACGTATCAATAGCACGCTGCGTCAATCTATTCTTCTCGCCTTAAGATTACCTCATAGTTCGTGAATGAGATGAGGAGGAGGAGGAAGAGGAGGAGGAGGAGGAGGAGGAGGAGGAGGAGGGGGAGGAGAAGGGGCCATATTGACATCCGTTCTCCAAGCCAGCACGCTGGTGTCACACAGCGACGTGGAGCAATGCTACGACGCGCAATGCACACCGCAGAGGGCAGCTGGGGCGCAAAGGCATCGCCGCTAACTTCGACTCCAGGCTGGCCCGCGCCATCTTCGCAGGCAACAGACTCACTCACTTGGGCGGAGCTACGCCGTGCAACGTCGTTTTCCGCAGGCCGCCCCCCACGCCGCCACCCCTTGAAGCAAATCGGGGCGAGGCGCCCGCCGACAGTTGCTGGCGCCAACACCGCTGCTGGCGGTGAAGTGCTGCCCGGCCGACTGCAGTGGCGCGTCCGCGACGTCGCCTTCAGCGCATCCTTGAGGCCGCGTCGATCGCCCGCGCGAGCTGTGCCCTCCGGGCGCGCGCCGCCGAGACCAAAGAGGAGGGGCTTTTCAACGTGTGCGATCAGGTGGAAGTCCACCGGCTTCCTGGCGTTGAAGACGCGCCGAGTTGGGCGGTTTCCGCCGCCGTCATCCCCGGGGGCCCGGCCAGAGGCAAGACGACGGTCACGTGCCGCAGCGCCGAGATGGTTTGCAGATTGCAGGACTCGCGGGCCGCCATCGGTGCCGTCTGGCGCGAGCAGGCCTGACTTGGGATCGCGCGGGGGACTTCAGGGGGCACGTCGCGCCAGGCACCAGGGCCAGAACCTTCGGCCACTGGGAGGACGAGCAGGGCAGGCAGCTGACCGAGCAGGTTCGGCGACATCGATGTCCTCGATGCTCTGCGCCACTTGTCCCGCATGTTTTTTCGACCATTTCGACCACCAGACGTTCGAACCGCGCGTCTCGTGCGCGGCCGGGAATCTGTTGGCGACTGGACGGGCTGCATCCAGTGCCATGTCATCTGCTGGCCCCCTCGGAACCCTAGCGAAGTTCACCAAGTGTGCGTGGCAGAGCCTCATCGGCGAGCAGTGGAAGGGCGCTCGCATCATCCGGCTTTCCCTGGCGACGAACAGCCGTTGGCTGCCGGCGCCAGGCAGGGCCGGGGCGGGGCCGTTGGCGACGGCGTAGTCAAGCGCCACCGAGGCCGTATGAGCAGCAGCCCTGTCAGCCTTGGCGGTGATGCCAGAAAAGGCCGACTGCGATTCCTCGGGCCGCGCCCAACAGGCGGCGCTGGCAGCTTAGCAGGGGGTCGAGGGCGCGGAGGACCTGGCCAGGGAAGCTGCAGGAGCTGACAGCAAGAAGATTGGTTTACGCGACCGTCGAGCGCTGCCACCGGCAAAGGCCCCCGGTCGCGCGAGTGGCCCCGGCGCCTGGAGACGCGGCGCCAGCGTCGGAATATCCGCGCGCAGTGTCGCTACTACCTGCGCGGCGCCTCTGAAGATGTTTGCGCAGCGCTAAATGAAGAGGACGCAGGGGGGGAACGCGTGGACTTGCACCTGCGCCCAGGAGTGGGTAATTATATCTCAGCTGCCGCGAGGACAATTATGTTGCGGGCGCGCCCGTCGCAGCCCCGTTCGAGGCCCGCGCCGCCGTCTAGAGCCGCGGCGATCAAGAGCGACGCCGATCTCCTGGCTGAAGGAAAGGCGTCGAGGCTGACGACGGAGGCGGCCGCCGCCATCCTCGAGGAGCTCACCATCTGGGCCACGTGCAAGCATGTCAAGCCACGCTCTCTCAACGGCGCTCGGGGCGTCGCGCGCTCCAGGCGCGCGCTCAAATTGAAGCGCCGGACGGGGTCGGGCGGCGCAGGCGCCGGGGGCACCCGGCGCCTCGCGGCGCTGGGGCGCCCCCGCGGCGCCGGGGCGCTCCCGCGACATGGGCGCCAGAGCCCTGGAGACGTTTACTGGCGCAGTGAAGCGGGCGCATCAGCGCAATATGATTTCAGAAGCGGTTTGTCGCCCAGGCTGGGCGCGCGTCGCAATGTGCGTCAAGAGCGCTCCTGCTGGGCATGACCTAATTATGCCGTGATGCAGGCGTAGGGCGATGCACCAGGAGAAGCGAATTCCACCTTGCCTCCTCACAGCGCTTCCATCCTCAGGCAGGCTCAAGGCTGCGAGTCCAACGACCAG